TCTGCAACAATCTTTTTTTTTTTTTTTTTTTTTTTTTTTTTTTTTTTGACAAAACGAATTTATTATGTAGCCAGGAAACGGGCCCAGCGTCCCTTACATCATTTCAGTGGTCCCATTTAAGGGCGAGACATCACCGGTCAAACCCTAAAACCGGACCGCTCCCCACTGCGAATTTCAATATTCCCGTAATTTCCCGGTTTTGAAAAAAGAAGAAAACAAACCCTAATTAATAATTATCATAATCCTGGAACTATCTTCCCTCCATTTAACGATTCTAATCTAAAACAGAATTAAACAAAGCCTAAACGGCGTTATATATCTTATACCGCTATAAACCTCCCAACAAACTAGCAAAGCTCTTAAAGCTCTCAACAAACTAACAAAGCTCTACCACCATGGAATCCCAAGGGGATCCTACAGACACGACACGCCCCAAAAATATGTAATGTCAACAACAACGCAGAACCATTCGCCTCAAGCGACGAATCAAGCCGTGCCCATCTATGAAAATAACCAACGTGCAAACGCCACCGCTCCATATTTCATATGCCGCTATAAAACTCCGAACAAACTAACAAAGCTCTACCACCATGGAATCCTATAAGAGGATCCTACAAACACGACACACCCAAAACCTATCTAATATCAACAACAACACTGAGCCATTCCGTCTAAAGCGACAAATCAAGTGGTGCTCATCTATCAACATAGCCAACGTGCAAACAGCACCCCTCCTCCGCTTCGTCAGCTTCAACAAGCGAGGCTACAAAGGCTGCTCCAGGCTGCTCCAGGCCACCGGAAAGCAGAATAACTGTGTGTAAAGTCCACATCTGTCGTCGCCCGCTGGGCAGATCAACCAAATCACCCCAGGCCGCCCCCAACTCAGCAGGAACACGTTATCCCTGCGGCATCTCCGTATCGAAGACCGGAGGGCAAGCCCCCGATCGGTTTCATAAGGTACGGTGGAGGCGTCCATATCCTGCCCTCCAGCTGTCCCCCCATCTCCTCTCTTTCCATCCTCAGCTTGGCAGGGATTCCTGACGCATACTCAGCCGAAACAAGTGTTTGGCAAAAAACTTTTCAGATTCCTTTGGCATGCCCCACATGTGCCCGCGCACCTCTCCATGCACCGCCATAGCCACGCTCACGCCAGGTTTTGGGAACCGCAGTCAAAAGATTTCGTCAACCGTGAACGTGAGTCCCCAGCCGCCCAAATGCCGCCCAGGGCGACGCGTTAGCGCAGCGCTAACGCGCCTCCTTTTTTCTCTCACCTCTTGCCGGTGGAAATAGGAACCGGACTGATGCGCCCCAGAATGGATAAGGAGCCAGGGCCGTAAGGACCTGTTTGTTTGGGGAAAGAAAAAAAAAAAGTGAGGTGAGAGAAAAATATTAAAAGATACGTATGTCCCCCGACGAGGAGAAGACAAAAAAAAAAAAAAAAAAAAAAAAAAAAAAAAAAAAAAAAAAACAACCAACAAACAAACAAACAAACATTGCAATTCATTATAGGCTAGGTCGTGAAAGGAAAAAGATATGTTCCATGATGACATGGCAGAATGGCAGTTAAAATATGTGAGGTGGGAGAAAAATAATAAAAGATATGTAGCTGTCCCCTGCAATTCATTATAGGCTGGGAACCCAGCCCAGCGTCCCTCACATCATTCACTGCGATTGGCGAGCTGAACACAAGACCCTCCGCCCAAGCAGAGCTCACAGCCCCATCGATTCTGGGGGGTGGCAGTCCGGTTGCTTTATTATTATTAATTTTTTTTTTTCCGGTTTGCTTATTAACGGTCGGCATAGAAAGCAGATAGAGTTTGTGAAAGAAGAAAAAAAAAAGAAAAGGAAGTTGGAGGGGGTATCAGCGCTGGCCTAGGCCCGCATCGCTTGCGTCGGGGCTCTTTCTCAAAAACCAGGAGAAGCCAACAGATCCCGTCTAAAACTACAACCTCCGTTCTATTCGTCTATCCCTTCATCTGCCTTTACTACTCGATAATAGGATCATGTTTGATGCAGACTGAATTTTTTTTTTTTTTTTTTTTTTTTTTTGCCTGTCCCTT